ACTTAAAATTTCGATGTGTGTTTTATATATATACACTTGTGATACTCGTTTATCTTAAATTTATTAGACAACATCGTTTTATCAAACTTTTGGTGCCATTATTTAGAAAATTGTTTCAATCCATACAAGGACATACAAACCATTTGTTTGTGATTAGGAGAGACAAACCCTTCGGATTGTTCCATGTATATCTCCTCTTCTAACTCACTATTTAGGAATGCCATTTTACATCAATTTGATAAATCTCAATGTTATATAATGCTGCAATTGCAATTAACAACATTATCGAAATGATTCTTGTCACGGGTGAGTAGGTATCAAGGAAGTCAAGTCCTTCCTTTTATCTATATCCCTTGACAACCAATCTAGCCTTATATTTGTTAATTGACCCATCCGATTTTAATTTCTTTTTCAAAATCCATTTTAACCCTAAAGGCTTATTTCTGGGAGGTAAATCAACCAACTCCAGATTATAGTTTTGCATTATAGAAACTATCTCACTGTTGATAACTTCTTTCCAATGTGGTACTTTCAGTGTAGGCATTGCTTCATCAAAAGTTTTTGGATCATTTTCTACCATGTAGGTTAGAAAATTTGGGTAAGTAGATGCTCCAACCCTTTTACTACGTCTTAGTTCTTCTTCATTCGAAGTATCATTTGTAGTTTAATAAGTTCTTTTATTTAAAATTGCATTTTCCTTGTCTTTAAATGGAAAAACATTATCAAGGAATGATACGTTTCTCGATTCAATTATAATTTCTTCATGTACATCTTGAATTTCAGATTTATGTACAAGGAAAAGATATGCACGACTATTATTGACGTATCCAATAAATATGCAATCAATCATCTTAGGATCAATTTTCACTTGTTTAAGCTCAGGACTTCAACTTTAGCCAAACACTCCCACACTTTAAAGTGTTCTTATGAAGGAGGATGACATTTTCATAGTTCATATGGAGTTTCTTCTATTTTCTTAAGGGGTATCTTGTTAATAATGCTATTTGTCGAAAGAATAGCTTCCCCTACAAATTCTGGGATAGAATCGAACTTATCAACATTGCGTTCATTTTTTCTTTAAGAGTTCGATTTTTGCATTTAGCAACACCATTCAATTGAGATGAGTAATATGCCGTTGTTTGATGAATGATTCCATGCTCGAAACAATATTATTCAAAAGGTGCCTCATATTCACCATCTATATCACTACGATTATTTTTTATTTGTTTACCAAGTTAATTCTCAACTTCCGTCTTATAATGTTTGAATACATTTAAGGCTTCATCTTTATTTCGTAGCAATACTTTATATGTCCATCAATGAAAGTTATAAAGTATTTTTTGTCACCTTTAGTTTGAATGAATTTCAAATCATATATATCGCTATGTATTAATTCTAAAAATGTCGTGTTCCTTTGAATCGAGTGAAAATGTGTTTTGGCCACTTTGCTTCAACATATTTTACATTTATGATTAAGATCAATTTTAAGTGTCAGAGTTAAACTTTAATTTATAAATTTGGGTATAAATTCGTAATTAACGTGAAATAATCAACCATGCCTTAAACAAGACAACTCAAGCATATAAACGAAATTTGAATTTTTATTCTTAATGCATTTTTGTACAATTGTAAGGACATTCATTTTGAATATTCATTTTCTAATAAAACCCTTACCAACATACATATCATTTTTGGTAAGTACGAACTTGTCCGCTCTAAATACAAGTTTAAAGTTGTTCTTGCTAAGTAGAGACCCCGAAACTAGGTTCTTAAGAATGTCTAGCACATGGGGGACATTATTGAGGACTAGCTCTTTTCCGAAAGTCATTTTTAATGTGATATTTCCAAGTCCTTCAACCTTCGAACTTGTAGAGTTCCCTATGAACAATTGTCATCCTTTCAATTCATGATAGTTTGAGAATATGGTCATATCTACACCAATATGGAGGGTAGCACTACTATCGACCTACCAATCCCTTAGATTACCAATCGTGTTGCATTCAGAAACAATCACAGATAGGTGTCTCTTTCAATTACATTTGTTTGTACAGTCTTCTTCGGCCTTCAACATTCATTTGAACGATGTCCGATTTTTCCACAATTGTAATAGTTGCCTTTAAACTTCTCGACATTCTTGGAGTTGTCTCATCTTGGTGTATTACCGGAGATCTTACACTTCTTGTTGACAAATTTCGAATCAATTTCAACAAAATTTGCTTCAAGTTGAACAATAGATTTTTTTCTGTGTTTCTATTATCTTCCTCAATCCTCAAACGGACTATCAATTCCTCCAAGTTCATCTCCTTACGTTTGTGCTTGAGATGGTTCTTGAAATCTCTCCACATAAGAGGGAGTTTCTCAATGATGGTTGTAATTTGAAAGGATTCACTCAATTCCATCTTTTTTGCATGTATGTCAAGAAGTAGAACTTGAAGTTCTTGTACTTGGCTTATCATGGTTTTAGAGTCTACCATTTTTTAGTCCAAAAACTTCCTGACAATGACCTTCTTTGTTCCGACATCCTTGGTCTTGTACTTGTTCTCCAATGAATCCCATAAATCCTTGGCCGAGTTCATCAAACTATACACTCAATAAAGTGTATCGTCCAATTCATTTAAGATGTAATTTTTGTAAAGGAAATCCGAGTGCTTCCATGCATCCAATGCAATAATCGACTCACGATTATTTTTTCCTATTTGTACTGCAGGAACGGTCTCTTTTACGAACTTTGTCAAATTTAAAGTAGTAAGATAGAATATCTTTTGTTGCCATCTTTTGAAATCCACTCCTCCAAACGTTTTCAATTTTTCCCCATGTGAGAAATGAGAGTTTTGGTATATGCATAGCCAATGACAGAATCACATGATGCGCACCATTCGTTGTTTGACTCGAAGTAGTATCAACGGTAGTCATTTCTATTACAAACAGAAGTTCAACGTACAAAATGAAATAAAGGAATAGCACATGATGGCTTATTCCATAAATGAAGAGAAGTGATTTGTTTTCAACAAACAACCATAAATTTTGTCTTAAGATTGTTGGTGAATTTGTGTAGTGAAATGGTTATTTGTTTAATTGACGAAGTAATGATTAAGTTTAATTCAAACGAGTGTAATCAAATTCTATGTAATATAGAAATGAAAAGAAAGTAGGAGAATGAAAAGAAATCTGAAACATGTGATTAACACTTTCTACTTAAAACAAAATTGTCCCTCATCGGTACTAACGGATTACGACACTTGTCTCTCAAGATATAACATATACAACTTGTGATAAAAACACTTCAAACCACAAGCAACAACAAACTCGAACGAAATTTTCTCTCTATGAGAATATAATTTTGTAATGATTTTTTGAAGAGTTTTTGTAAAAGATTTTGATATAATGCTCAATATAGATGATATGATATGCATAATGGACGTCCAAAGGGTCTTATTTATAGAAGATAAGATGTTGTGAGTGAAGAGACACACCCCAAAACTCTGCAACATTCACGAAGGGAACATCCATTGCTGTCGCTAGCTTGTCGTTAACTTTTCTCTCGAGCGCCTGTGACACTTGTTAAACAGAAATTTTTTGCCCGCCTGTCGCTCGAGCAGCATTGCTATATGATTTTTTTCCTCGTTTTTCTTCCAACTTTGGACCACAATTTTTCAATCCGGAATTTATTTTGAGATTCCAAATATATTATGATGATTTACTCGACAAGTAGAACAAGTTAATCTATTTATTTTCATAATTTGACTATCGAATTAAGTTCGAATATTTAGTCAGAGTTGACACAAAGTAACTTTTCAAGTTTTCAACTTAACCAAAATTTCCAATCTTACAATTTTGCATGTACATACATCAAATGAGACAAAAAAAAATTTAACTAATCTTAAATTATATGGGATAAACATCATTAGGTACTTGATTCTCTTGAATGAAATAGGATTCTTTCCTGGTACAAAATGGTAGTTATTTGTATAAAAACTACATAAATCAAACTCGATTAACAAATCTCCAGATAACGGACTTTCTTTCTCGATAAAACTAAAACTTGGTAGATTAACTTTATCAAGCAAGAGTTTAGCTAAACATGCTTAACAAAGTTAAGACTAGATTTTATCATCTGGGAATATTATAACAATTTAAATCCTATCGATTCCAACATGTTCATTATGACGAAAAGTTAGCTTTCTCATGATCCTAGGTAGCAAACGACACACAAATAAATAAATAAATAAAAATTCAAACGAATTTGTGCTTGCACATAGATTCCGTCTTTATTAGATTCGTGGATTAGATGATGTGATAGTATATTTAGTACACAACTCGACAGAATTAATTACCTGAACATATACATGAATGAATGTATAATTCTATATTATGAAGAGAAATGCTATTCATCTCCACTGAGGATGCATCCCGAGTCTATGTGGCTACATAGACTGGGGATGCATCCCCAATGGGGATGGATAGTATTTTTCTATTATGAACGGTGAGGCTTCATTCCTAGGAAAGGTGATTAATATGGTTAGAACATGCTTTGCATAGTATTTATAGCATTGAATTGAATGAAGAAAAAAAAGTTCATCGATACATCCAATAATTCTCAACTCTGTTGTGAAACAATTTTCAGTTTTATATTTGTAATTCTATCTGGATTTTTAGGAGTTTGGCAAACAAAAAGCATCTCCAGTGGGTTAAAAGATAGAGAAAATTCCAGAGTAAAGGATAAGATTCATAATATCAGGTACTAGTGTACGAATCCAAAAATTCGAGCATAACACATGCAAAACCAACACAGAACAATCCAATTATTTGATGCCCTAAAGAGATGCCATAAATCACTACACAAGGACAGACAAAATTAAGTTACGAAAATCTACAAAAGGTCTGCTACCGTACTTGTTATAATTCATTACGAGATATTACAATGGACGATCTTTTAACTTTTTTATTCCTTAATACTGTCTAGTATTGTACACTCCACCCTAGGAAGTAGCAATAGCTGTCTAGTGAGTTGCTGCTGCTACTGCTGTCTCCATCAGCGGACCTCTCATTGCCCACAAATTCCTATACTCCATAGAGCCAAAATTGTATAGGAATCTACTCACTATCATCGTGCTTGGCCCCGCCACCAAATTCTCCCATGCCTTGTCGGCTTCTCTGCCTTGTCTTCTGAACACATCGGTGGCATCAATCCGGTGCATTTTCCATCCCTTCACGTCTCTAAGTCGATATATTTTCTCCACTTGGCGACATGCCAATTTGTTAGTGTTAAATTTTATCATGTTTATTGCTTCTTCGAGAATTCTAGCACGAGTTTTATCATCAGAGGATGATTCAGCCCGGAAGTAACGATCCAACTCAGGGACACCAATTGCTCTCCTAAGTCCTCTTGAGTAGTTTGCATTCAATCTAAACATTTTTCTTACCTCATTTACCATTCCCCTTTCCACCATTCGATCAACTCGATCGGACAAAAACGACTTGAGCATAGGCATCGATACATCCATCCAGAGGAAGCAACATTCGTACTTGGAACGAAATTTATCATTGTCCTTATCATCAATGAGTGCCTCGATGAATGAATTCGAGCCTCCAACGATGATTGGAAGCCTTCGATTGTTGACTACAGACTTTATAGCAAGGGAAGCCATGTTACAAAAATTTGTAGCTGTGAAATCCATGTTAGGATCTACTCCTCCTAAGAGGTGGTGGGGTACCCCACAACACTCTTCTTGAGTAATCTTGTTCGTTGTTATGTCCAATCCTTCGTACACCTGCATTTTATCTGAATTTACAATCTCAGCCTGAAAACGGGTGGCTATGTCGATGGAAAGTCGAGATTTTCCAGTCCCGGTGGCTCCCAAGACCACCACCATCTTCTCCCTCTGTGGCTGGCTACAGTGGACTTTCCCAGTTTGAAGAATGTGCGGCAAAATTGTTGTTTGTTTGCACATAGATAGCGACATTCTCTTTCTTAACTGATTAAGAATAGAAGAAGATAAAAAATGCTTTCAGTAAGGCACTAGATAAAAAAATGATTTATTAAAGAGTAATGCTATTCATAGTCAACGACTGCAATAGTCATCCTTCTAGCGTTCCAAATGCGACAACTTGAAAATGTTGGGACCCTTTGGAACAAATTTTGGAGTCAACTTTTTCTGGCCATGGTTAAATCTACTTAAAACGAACAAAAACTTTTGGGGTGGTTTCAATTGATGCCAAATTTGATCAAAATTCAATAATTAAATGAAAGATAAGACAAAATCAAAAGATCAAAAGAGCGAAAGTTTGAGGAAGTGGGATGCGATGAGAGATATGTATGAGTTAATAGTGAAGCCAAAAGTTCTTTTAGCAGAGATGAATGCATGCAACCTAATGAGAAATATTTTGAGTATTTATAGTCAGTTTTTGGTTCTCTCTGGAGCCAACATCAAGTTGCTAAATGGTCCAGTACGTAAAAGGAAGCCATAAAGGTTCAGGTTTTTGTGCTTATCTAGCAACTCTTAAGAATAAAATATGGAGTCCATATATTTTACAACAAAAGTTTATGCACTGACCTGTCTTGTTTGTTTGGATTAAAATTATATTTTAATTTAAATAAAAGTCAAACAATTAATATTAACCACATATTTTATGAGTTTCACAACTTTTCAACCATACATTTCAAAAACTTCTATCACAATCTACTAAAAATCTAATTTTAATCTCCACCAAACACCCTACCGAAGGAAAAGATTTGATTTGGTCAACAAAAGAAAGAACCCATAATTTACTTCTCAACTAAATAATAAGCTCCCATTTGGTCTGGATTAAAATATGCTTTTATTTCAAGTTAAAGTCAAACAATGAATATTAACCACATCTTTCATGGGTCCCACAATTTTTCAACCACACATTTCAAAATTTTTTATCACAATTTACTAAAAATCTGATTTCGACTTTCCATGGTACAAAAAAGACTACGAGAAACATTTCCGTGTTTTTAAAGAAACTAGATAGTGTTATCCTCGCTGTTTTTACAAAAAAATCTTTTTGGAAGATGTTTTTCATTGAATCTTGAGAAATATGAAGGATTGAATATATAATATCGAATCGAATATTATTAAGAAAGAAAAAGAAATTAAAATCTTGATCATTATACTTTCCGTACACTAAGGGTTTGCTTGGGAGTTTTTTTCTTTCACCAATTTCGACTGGTTTTGGGTGGCACCGTTTATAAGGGGTTGGAAAAATTAGTGCTTGCTAGTATTTTTGGACATCAATTTTGGATAATTTTAAAATCACCCAAAATCGGTGTAGTGTAATTTTGACTGATTTCTCAACCCACCAAATCAGCGAATTTTGACTGTCTCTCATGTTCTTTTCTAATTGTATATTTTATAAAATAATTATTTGTAAGCAACACATTTTCTTCAAAATTAACTTGTAAATAAAAATATATTAACTAAAAAATTGTTTATAAGAAAAAAATTATATTATAATTAAAAAATTACTTATAAGTGAAAAATCGCTTTTAAAAAAAACTTGTTTATAAAATAAAAATACTACTAAGAAGATAAAAGTTCACTTATGAAATATAAATTGTTACTTATAAGTAAAAAATTCACTTAAAATTTCAAGTAAATATTTAACTTTATTTAATTTTTTAAGTTAAATATTAACTTATATGTAAAAAAAACTAACTATAAGTAAAAGATCACTTATGAGAAAAAAATTTCATGTAAGAAACAATAAACTAAAATTTTTTTACTAACCGGTGGGTAATAAACTTCCAAACATAGGTTGGGAAGTTTTAAAAATCGCTACTAAAACCACTTAAAATCAATCCGCTCATAAATGCTCAAATTCGGTACTTTAAAAAACTCTCAAACAAGCCCTAAGTCGGAGAAGTTCAAGTTCATAACTAAGCGTCTAACTATAACTCATTTCAAAACTAAGATAAAAGGTTTAAGATTTCAAAAATCAGATATTTTTTTAAGTTTTATTTCTGAAATAATTAATTAAAAATATATTTTATAAAATAAATATAAGGTCACAATTCTATATAATTTGGTAACAATTTATCGAAGTAATTGATTATATATAATTTCTCGGTCACAATTACAAATTTTATAGGATACAAATTATTTTATGGTTACAAATTAATAAGTTACATATTATTCATTGGTCACAAATAACAAATTTTATAAGTCACAACTTATTTCATGATCACAAAATATCAAATTAATTTATCACAAATTATGTTAAGGTTACAAATTATCTAATTATTAGTCACAAATAAAAAAAAAAATTGGTCGCACATTATTTATTAATCATAACTTATCTATTTCATTGGTCGTAAACTATTTATTGGCCACACACCAACCAATTTATTGATTATAATCAACCAAATCATTTGTGACAGTTACCAATACTTGTGACCACCACCTCACCATCACTGTAAGCCGCAACGCAGTTGAAACCACCGCAGTCAGAACCACACCTCCCGACAGTAAAACCATCATCTCAAACATAGCAGCTAGCATCACCACCACCACTACTACCCATCCACAACCACCGCACCACCATCACTACCACCACCCAAACAAACTAAAACCATCGTGACCACACAACCACCATCTATACCATCTCCACCGTCGCCGAACACAATCGTCGCCGCCACCACCACCCAAACACCACTAAAACCACCGTGACCGCCACAACCACTATCTACACCATATCTACCATCGCCAGGCACAATCTCTTGCACCCACCATCTACACAATTTCTGACACTGCCGAACACCTCACATGTACCACCATCTACACCATATCCACCACTGTCAAACACCATCACTTGCACCACCATCTCTACCATCGTCGAACACCATCGCTCGCACCACCATGACCACCCAAATAAATGGACAAAATCACACTCCCTAAGGCACACCACCACCTACACCATAACGCAAAATCGCACCTACATCAAACCACAATCGAACTGCACAAAAAACCGTAGGCCACCAAAATCGGAAATTAAAAAAATAGATCTAGGATTGAGCAAGAAAGAGGAACGCGCAGCAGCAACAGATGATCACGCATCAACAATAGCAGATCACGTAGCAATGTTGATGGCGAGACTCTCTGGCAATGGCTTCCGGCGACAGTTTCCGGTGGGATGGAAAGAAAAGAGAGTTAATAGAGAGGATGAAAATAATTAGGGTTTTGTATGGATGGTTGTGTATAGGTTAGGTGGGATGAATTAAATATTTTGTAATATAATTATTAATATTTAAAATATTATTTATCATCTGATTTTTGAAAAGAAAACTAGAAAATCTTAATTTTGAAATTTGAAGTTTAAAACTCTAGTCTACTGTAATTTCCACTAAACTAATTTTTTTTAATTAAGGGACATATATGTAATTTTATTCTTTTAAAAAAATCTCAGAACTGGTAAATAATAAACTTCCAAACATAGGTTGAGAAGTTTTAAAAAACGCTACTAAAATCGCTTAAAATCAGTTCGCTCAAAATTGGTATTTTAAAAAACGTTTATAATCGATACGCTGAAACTCTCAATCAAGTCCTAAGACAAAGAAGTTCAAGTTTAGGACTGGGAGGGGGAGGAGTGGGAGAGAGTTTTGATGCTCGACACGTTATAAATGCAATAGGGAATATAATTTAAACAAAGTTGTGTCTTCTTATCAGTATTTTCTTGTTTTCGTCTTTTTGTTGGGACATGCCACTAATCAACTTTTCATCTAAATTATTGCACATGATAATATAAATAATTTTTTCCCCTGAAATTTAATAGAGAAGATATCTAGCTTATTTGTTTTTTTAGTAAATATCCACTTCATTATAATGTCAATTGGAAGATTAATTATCTCAATTTAATTATAATTGTGCAACACTTAAAAGACAATATGGTTTTATGCGTTATCGCAACAAACGCAAGAATACAAGTTTAAATTTCATTACTATTTATTCAAAAAATTTATGTGTCGAATCTTTAATAAAAATAAATTCGACCTTCACGTCATAAAAGTAAATAAATTTCTCAATTATATATATTGAGAATTCATTTTGTACAATTACTGTGAAATGAATTTATCGAATGATTCTGAAAATGGAAAGGGAATAATTAAATTCGTCAAATTCTGATTCCCTGGTGCAAGTTGGTGACAAGATTGAACAATATTTCCTTTGTGGTTGTCACCAACAAAATGGAATTTTCTTTTTAATCTTTTCCAACCAATTTATAGCATAAGGTAGAAAAATAAAAGATTTAAAAAGAATGCATGTAAATTCAGGTCCGGTTTGACCATCATTGAAAGAGTTATTTTTATTATTATTATTTTTTTTTTTAATAGAAAAATGGGTTTTGGAATTTTATTTTTTGGAGAATGTGTGAACAAAAAGTAGGAAAATTTTTTGGTTGACATATAAAATATTTTATTGTGAAAATGTGGTTGAAAATGAGTTTGAAAAAAAAGGAACTATTTTAATGGTTGACAAATAGTGGCTCAATTTTGTAATCGTCATTTATGAAAATCCCGTGCCGGACTTTTATTAAAGAAATGAAATCGATTTGTACATGAATTAGCACGTTAAAGATAAAATTTAAATGAATACATCAACTCAAATCTAACATCATGTAATGGTTAATGCAATGCATCTAAGAATGTTAAATTGAAATAATATTAGCCGGACAAGAAAAGAAAGGTATAAGATCACTCCGTAGCTAATCATTCATAATGTCAAATAAATCATTCTTGTAAGAGTATTGAGATGTAGATTGTATCTATTCTTTTATACTTCTGGTTATTTGCTCTACACCAAGTTGGTAATTTAATGCGGACTACATCTTTTAAAGAGAAATTATCATGGTACTAATATAAATGAAAAAAAAAAAGGTTTTAAGGTGGAAGGATAAAGGTTACTTGGGGATCTAATTATCAGTGTTCTAAAAAGAACGCATAGGC